TGTTCCCCTGTCGAAAACATCCAGTCCAGTGTTGATGCCGGCGGTGTTGTTTGCGCAGTGTTTATCGACTTAACCAAGGCGTTTGACACTGTGAACCATCACACGCTACTACAAAAGCTCACTTATTTGAGAAAATCACTTTAAATTGGCTACAATCGTATCTCATATCTCGAGAAAGCAGTGTATCTGTGTGAATAATGTGAAATCTCCAACATCTCAGAATAATCTTGGTGTGCCTCAAGGCTCGATACTGGGTCCATTGCTGTTTAGCATCTACATGAATGACTTGCTCCAAGGTTATCCATCTAATGTAATTTGTCAGATGTACACTGATGATGCAGTCTTGTATGTTCACTTTAAAAACTAACAGCAAGCTGCACAGCACCTGTCAGTCATTATGTCAGAGGAGCAAACTGGCCACAACATTCACAATTACAATCTTAATTCACACAATTACAGTCTTAATATTTCAATGTCAGTTGATATGTCTTTCTCAAAAAAAAAAACAAAAAAAAACAAAAAAACACAGATCCAGATGTATTTGTGCTTGGAACAAAACTGAAGCAGGTCCATGAGGTGAAGTATCTGGGAGTCACACAACTATCGTTCAAACAACATGTCAACAGAACAGTGAATAAAATCAAATATGATTTATCACATTTTCGTCATATTAGAAATAATCTAACATCAAACAATTATGTTTGGCAATTATGTATTTAAATTCACAGATTTTGCCGCACCTAAATTATTGCATTATCAGTTGGACTCTGACAAGCAAACCTCCTCTTAAATGAGCTGAAACTATCTATAAAAAACACTTAAGGTATTAGACAAAAAGCCCACGAATAATCACTACTGCAGAAAACTTGACAAATACACATTTCTAAATTGGAACAACACAATCAAATATGCAGATTTAATTATGGTATACAAGTGTTTAATAATCTTGGTCCACCTCTAAAGGAGTTTGTGAAAAGAAACTCAAATCACACAAGAGCAGCTCTAGAGGCGACTACTGTGGGAAAAGTGTTTTTGGACACACTCTTTTGTTTATCGTGCAGGTCAAACATGAAACACAGAGCAGCTCATCTACGAGAACTTTCAACACTGCAGCATTTAAACATGATATTCAATGGCCCAATATGTCTCCATGTTTAAACAAATTACATTTTTTTATATTGAGGGGCTGTTGGTTTAACTCTTGATTTCAAACTTCAAATGAACTTTGAAATGAATTGTATGTATAGTGAGTAGAGCCTGACTGATATGGATTTTGTTGTGGTTGATATGATACCGATAAAATGGGAGTTGGAGCTGCCGATATAATCACTGATATATTTAATGATGTAAAATTTAACTGTAAATCTTGAATTGTTTAAAAACTTAGGTTTGGCTCTAGTGGATTTTAAATTGGGTTTATTTAGGCAACATTTATTATTATAACTCTTTACGTCATATTTACAGACAGTAGATTGGCCTAATGGCATTTTACATCACATTCTAGCTACTAGTGATGGGTATTCCAGTTCTTTTTAAAGAATCGACTCTTTTGGCTCGGCTCACTAAAAGCAGCTGGCTCTTTTGGCTCCCAAGCGGCTCTTCAGATTGTTTTGTTACAAACAGGACTAAACCAGGTCTAAAGCAGGTCTAAAGCAGGTCTAAAGCAGGACTAAACTAAAACTGAACCAGGACTGAGTGTCGGGACTTGATCTCTATCTCTCTCAGTCTCTCGAGGCCAAGATTAGTCCTGGTTTATTTATTTTATGTTTAACTACAGCCAAATATGCACGTTTTTCTCTCTTCAGATTTCTGAAAGTTTCATTTTCAGCAGCTGCCCGCTGTCAAACTCCCACGAGTCTGCACGAGATGTAAAGAGAAAAAAAGTGAGAGAAAGAGAAAACACGGCTCCCAATAAGGAGCCGGCTCTAAGAGCCGTTTCGTTCGCGACTGACCTATCACTACTAGCTAAACTACCGCTATTAGGCTTTAGCCGTAAATACGTGCACACCGCGGTAATTAATTATATGCGCAAGTATCATCATTCACACCTCTATTCACAGCTCATTTACATATCAATGCAGGTCCGGTAACAAATATACGACCAATACAGTCACTTTACAATAGACCAATATAAAACAGCCTGTTTATGTGCGGGAGCAACAGCAGCTAATCGCTAACCAAAACTAGCTTCAAAGTTGCCATATTTCCACCTCTCAGCGCTCACACAGGCTCCTCGTCATATCCCAAGTCTGCACTAATAAAAGTATTAGGACATTTATCTGTCTGTAAATTGGATTAAATCAGTGCTTCTCAATTATTTTCTGTCATGCCCCCCCTAGGAAGAATAAAACATCTCGCGCCCCCCCCGCGTGACTATAAATAGTATAATTTGTCTATAAAATAGATATAAGTACACCTCTGCATAACACTGCCACCTAATATGATGCCAACAACGCTCGCTGGTTTACTGAAGTAGCAGTCACAAAGCGGGATGATTGTCGGCAATATTCGGCACGTTTTTGCTGAAAAAACTCAAGCGGCTTATCAGAGTGATTGGGGTGTAATGTATTTAAGTGACGCCTTAATTTATTGAGCTTCATGCTGTCGGCTGCCAACATTCTTAGACACAGTAAGCACACCGGTCTTTCCTCATCTCCCACCGTAGTCACAGTGAAGCCAAGCGCTACATACGCTTCGTCATATTTCCTCGTCTTAGCTTTCGGGAGATTTTCGTTTGTCTCTTTATCTCCGTCTCTCTCCGTCTGTCTTCTCATCCCTGTTAAATATTTTTTCATGGTGTCACTTGAGGGTCTGCTACACTTCGTGTCTACACTTCATACTCAAACTCTGTACTGTGTGCAAAGCGCGCATGCTCAGTGCAAACAAAACTCCTACACCACCGAGCGAATGCTCCCTGCGCACACTCTGCCAATGACAGCGCCACTGCCCCCTAATGTAGTGGAAGTGCAATTGCACTTTATTCTAGGACAGTAAAAAAAAATCTAAATAAAAAAATAAAAAAGCATGTTCCCCGAGGTCAAACGCGCCCCCCTTGACGGAGCCTCGCGCCCCCCCCCCCACTATTTGAGAAGCACTGGATTAAATGAACATAATTTAGAGTCTAAGCTTTATAATGAGGTATAACATGACCACGTGAAATATCGGCTCATATCAGCAAACATCGGTCGATAGTCGATATGCCTCCAGGTGCCCATATCAGCCGATAATATCAGCCAACTGATATATCAGTCGGGCACTAAAAGTGAGTGTATAGTGAGTGTGTTGTGTGTATAGTGAGTGTGTTGTGTGTACAGTGAGTGTGTTGTGTGTACAGTGAGTGTGTGTGTGTGTACAGTGAGTGTGTTGTGTGTGTATAGTGAGTGTGTTGTATGTATAGTGATGTGTGTACAGTGTGTTGTGTGTATAGTGAGTTGTGTGTAGTGAGTGTGTTGTGTGTATAGTGAGTGTGTTGTGTGTACAGTGAGTGTGTGTGTTGTGTGAGTGAGTGTACAGTGAGTGTGTTGTGTGTACAGTGAGTGTGTTGTGTGTGTACAGTGAGTGTGTGTGTGTGTGTATAGTGAGTGTGTTGTGTGTATGTGAGTAGTCAGTGTGTTGTGATGTACAGTGAGTGAGTGTGTTGTGTGTGTACAGTGAGTGTGTGTGTGAGTGTGTTGTGTGTACAGTGATGTGTACAGTGAGTGTGTGTGTGTAGTGTGTTGTGTGTACAGTGAGTGTGTTGTATGTACAGTGAGTGTGTTGTGTGTATAGTGAGTGTGTTGTGTGTACAGTGAGTGTGTGTGTGTATGTATAGTGAGTGTGTGTGAGTGTGATGTGTAGTGAGTGTGTGTTGTGATGTATAGTGAGTGTGTTGTGTGTACAGTGAGTGTGTTGTATGTACAGTGAGTGAGTGTGTGTTGTGTGTATAGTGAGTGTGTTGTGTGTACAGTGAGTGTGTTGTATGTACAGTGAGTTGTGTGTTGTGTGTGTATGTATAGTGAGTGTGTTGTATGTATAGTGAGTGTGTTGTAGTGTGTGTGATGTGAGTGAGTGTGTTGTATGTATAGTGAGTGTGTTGTGTGTAGTAGTGAGTGAGTGTGTTGTGTGTACAGTGAGTGTGTTGTGTGTACAGTGAGTGTGTTGTGTGTACAGTGAGTGTGTTGTGTGTACAGTGAGTGTGTTGTATGTATAGTGAGTGTGTTGTATGTATAGTGAGTGTGTTGTGTGTACAGTGAGTGTGTTGTATGTATAGTGAGTTTACTGGTGGTGTTGTTCTTTTCTGTGTCCTGTAGATGATTTCACATCAACCTGCCGGGGTACTGAAGATGAAAACGAGCTACGCTGGCTAAAATCTTTACATATTTACATTTTAAATGTTCATTAACATGTGCTCCTCCATCAGAATCGCACCTTTAGGATCTTTTTATTGATTTCAATGAATTATTCTTGTCAAAAAAGAAAAACAAAAAAAGTCCTCTGAATGATGTGGGCACTCAGCATATGAATCAAAAACATTACACATAAATGAAAATACTGTGCTTTCTCTACAGGCTAACGTTTGATTTGAAGTGATTTCATTTTTGACGCTAATTTTTTTTTTTTTTCCATAACTGAGCAGATTTTGCTTTTTTTGCTTTTTTGTTATAACATAATATGGATATTATAACCAGTCAGACATTTTTTGAAAGTAAGTAAAATATTGTAGATTAATAAACTAAATGAATCTAGACTAATAAATTGTTTTGAGTCCAAGCAGAAAGAACATTGGATTAGAAACAAAGACCATCTCCTCCTCTTCTAACTACTGCACCATCATTATGTATTCTGTTATGGCTGAGATTTGTGCCTCAGATATCATCTGTCCTTGTTCCAATGTCAACTTATAAATATAGAGATTTTTCAAACAAAACAGCTGCTCAATGACACCATCAACCGGAACATTAGAAAAAACAAACAAACCAAACCAAAGGCCAGAAAACAGAAGGACACGAGTCTGGACTCACCAGCTGCAGCCAAATGTTGGTGGTCAGCACCTGGTTCTTCTCATCCTGGAAATAAAAACAACAAATATATGATTTTATTCACAGGTTTCAGCTTCTTGTTATATGCAACATTTTGACAACCTTTTCCCATTCAGAAGATATAATATTTTATTTCTAACTGTTTAACAGTCCTGAATTTTTCAGGACTTCAGGCTTCAAATGTTCCACAGTCCGGGAATATACAGCAGGGTCACCTCTCCACAGATCTGACCTGTAACTTTTGACCTGGTGGTGCCATGAGCTTGTCTTCATGGAGATAAATCAGTATAATGCCACACTGAGGAGTATTCCAGGCAAGCAACACCTCCAGTCTCCATGCAGACAAAATAAGTTGCAGACCCTTTACCAGAAAAGTTACACAGTGGACCTTTAAAATATCCTTTAATAACATTTGTTTTAAGATGAGCAGGTGCATGTGTGATCAGACAGGTGCAGACGGGAGTAGACAGGCACAGACGGAGAAGACAGGCACAGACGGAGAAGACGGGAGCAGAAAGATGCAAACAGGAGCAGACAGGTGCAGACGGGAGCCAGTCCAGTGCACAGTTTAAATGAGTGCAGCAGATGGCAGTGATCCAGCGCAGAGGAGGCTGAATAAGAAGCAGAGTCAGTTTGATGAATGTGCTCTTGCTAATGGGCACGCAGGTAGTGGAGCGAGCAGGAGATTAAACTACAGACGTGTAGCTCAGAGCCTGGATCACACGCTAAAAAGGTAAATAACATAAAGGTTAAATAAACGACGACCTATAGATGCTCTAGATGAAAAGTCAAGTAAAGGAAGGAGCTGACCGGTGCAGACAGGAGCTGACAGGTGCAGACAGGTGCAGATGTGATCAGACAGGTGCAGACAGGAGCAGAGATGGAGCAGAGGTAGTTTACATTCTGAGTCCATATTTCTAGAGAGCAGAGGGGAGGAGCGCTCCATAAAGCCCGGTCTAATAAAAACTGCAATTTGAAACACAGGAAAGAACTAAACTGTGCAATAAAGACGCTCTCTAAAGCTGCACTGTGTCACTTTTCTGTAGCGGGACTCTGCCATATGCTCGCCTCCATGGAGGTGACTAGAATGTTACACAGTAGGGCATTAAATGTTCTGTCTCTATGAGGACAAGCAGATGACACCAACAGGCAACATTACAGGTCAGATCTAGGAAGAGCCGTGTTTGTCTTTTCTTGTAAGAGCATCTCAAATTGAATAAAATGTGAGATAGATACATTTAATGCCCAACGGTGCAACATTCCAGCCAAAGAGTGACACTGCTGTAGAAAAATGTAATTATGGATTATGAAAGTAAAGCTTTGTTGGTTTGCTTCCAAAAAGGGTCTAGAAGTGAGTGAGGGGTGATTCTGGCTTAACTTTCATACATATGGAGGAAATATACAGGCAGTAGATTCAGAGCTAAGATTTTAAATTTTATTTTTTATAATTCTAGTATTAAGTGTCTTAAACTTTTTTTTTTTTTTTTCACCCGTCAGTCAAAAACAGCTTAAAGAAGACTGTAAAAAACTGCTCAAAGACAACAGGAGTGCAGGTGCCCAGCCTCAGCTCTGTCTGGAGCAGGCAGGTTCAGGCAGGTGCAGACAGGTGCAGACAGTTACTCCAGAAAGCCAAATGTATCACTGGCAGCTCAAATCAAATTTAAAACAGAGATTCTCCCTGATGCCCTCTGGGAGGCGCTAGCTTGCCCCCAGCAGGAAAACAAACACATTTGTTAATTCGTCTGTTCCCTCGGCCATGGGCTCCTGAACACAAGTGTGATGAGCCACACACAAGAGTTTGTAATTGTGTGTTTGTAATTGTATTTGGTTCAAATGTTGTTGTTCTGTTCTGTCTCTGGCTTTTGCACTTTGTTCCACTGTTGCACTTCACGCCTCATTTGCTCTTCTGCTCAGCTCTACATTGTACAAGCTCCTGACCTGTGTGAGCTGTATGTGTGTGCGTGGACTTTTATGCAGCGATCTGTGATGTACACAGCTGCACCTCAGGGATCTAAACCTAAACCTGTGTCACAGTAACACAGGAAGAACATGCACACTCCACACACTTCACTCAGAGACCAGGAGTCTAACCCACAACCTTCTCACTGAGGGGAGGAGACAGGATAACCACTCTGCCACAGCAACAGGAGCCTCCAGTGGGAAATAAAAGTCTAATCTGAACACACAAGACAAGAACAAATCAACTGAAAACAGAACACACAAAGTGACGCTGGTGTTAACTGCACAGTAACAAGATCATTTACACACAGAAGATTTTCAACACAAAACCATCTCTGTGTGACCTGTCTCTATGTGATCTGTCTCTATGTGATCTGTCTCTATGTGACCTGTCTCTATGTGATCTGTCTCTATGTGACCTGTCTCTATGTGACCTGTCTCTATGTGACTGTCTCTATGTGATCTGTCTCTATGTGACCTGTCTCTATGTGACCTGTCTCTGTCTCTATGTGACCTGTCTCTATGTGATCTGTCTCTATGTGTCTCTATGTGATCTGTCTCTATGTGATCTGTCTCTATGTGATCTGTCTCTATGTGACCTGTCTCTATGTGATCTGTCTCTATCTGTCTCTGTGACCTGTCTCTATGTGATCTGTCTCTATGTGACCTGTCTCTATGTACTGTCTCTGTGACCTGTCTATGTGATCTGTCTCTATGTGACCTGTCTCTTGTGACCTGTCTCTATGTGACCTGTCTCTATGTGATCTGTCTCTATGTGACCTGTCTCTGTGTGACCTGTCTCTGTGTGACCTGTCTCTATGTGACCTGTCTCTATGTGATCTGTCTCTATGTGACCTGTCTCTATGTGATCTGTCTCTCTATGTGTCTCTATGTGACCTGTCTCTATGTGACCTGTCTCTGTGTGACCTGTCTCTGTGTGACCTGTCTCTATGTGATCTGTCTCTATGTGACCTGTCTCTATGTGACCTGTCTCTATGTGATCTGTCTCTATGTGACCTGTCTCTATGTGACCTGTCTCTATGTGATCTGTCTCTGTGTGACCTGTCTCTATGTGACCTGTCTCTATGTGATCTGTCTCTATGTGACCTGTCTCTATGTGACCTGTCTATGTGACTGTCTCTATGTGATCTGTCTCTGTGACCTGTCTCTATGTGATCTGTCTCTGTGTGACCTGTCTCTATGTGACCTGTCTCTATGTGATCTGTCTCTATGTGACCTGTCTCTATGTGACCTGTCTCTATGTGACCTGTCTCTATGTGATCTGTCTCTATGTGATCTGTCTCTATGTGATCTGTCTCTATGTGACCTGTCTCTATGTGATCTGTCTCTGTGATCTGTCTCTGTGTGATCTGTCTCTGTGTGATCTGTCTTTCTCTCTTCTCTCTCTTTCTCTCTCTTTCTCTCTGTGTGTCTTTCTGTGTGTCTTTCTCTCTTCTCTCTCTTTCTCTCTGTGTGTCTTTCTCTCTTCTCTCTCTTTCTCTCTGTGTCTCTCTGTCTTCTCTCTGGCATGAGGACCCAGAGGCTCCTGGAGCAGTTGAAGCAGGAGCTCCAGGAGGTTTCAGGGCCTGGGTCCCTTATGTTCTTCCACTGGTCCCTTGGTCTTTCCTCCATTCAGTGAGAGAGAACGATGACTATTCCTTCTCTTTCTCATCCCCTTCCATCCTTTCTTTCTCTCTACCCTTTCCTTCTCCCCCCCCATCTTCCTCAGTCACTCTATCTCTGCCTTTTTATCTGCTCACCTCTCTTTCTACATCCTTCTGTCTCTTCCCTCCTCATCCAATCGCTTCTCTCCCCTCTCCCCTCCCTCTCTTCCTCCCTCCCTCCATCCTTCCCTCCATCCCTCATGTTTATGGCCCAGTATGAACTTCCTCCTCTAGCTGTGTGCCCTGCCCTCTCCAGACAGCAGGTGGCAGTCTCATGCAGTATTCATGAGGTCAGTGTGACACGTCACATCATCCAAACACATTTCACCACTTGAGATTTTCTCTCACTGTTTTCTGCTCAGATCTCCATGAAAACATCAGAACGAGAATATTGGACTTTGACAAAAAGCTGCACAGTCTCTGTTAGTGCCACAGAGCTCAGGACAGGCCTGAGATGGCAGCGGTCAGCCACAAGAGCAGAGGTGTAGAGTAGGTGAATATTGTACTGGAGTAAGAGTAATGTTACTCAGAAGCAGATCGCTGCTCCTTGGGAGAGTTTGCAGTTGAAATATTACAGGTTTGAGCCAGAGTTTGTTTGAGGATGAGGCAGCGTTTAAAACAGGACAGAGGCACTTTTAAAAAAATAAAATGTTAAAAAGCCTTTATGAAATCATAACTGATTTAAAAAAAAACGTTTTGGGCCTCACATGCTTCACAGAAAGAAGGTTCCAGGTCTCCAGTTCTTCCGGACATTTCTATGTGGAGTCTGGGTGGTTCCTCTGGACACTGGCCCACGGGACGAGCCAAAGACACACCACAAGACTCCTGACAGGAACGATAAAGTGTCCTTACCTCACCCAACTCCCTCCCTGCTCCCACCGCCCTCTCCTCTCACCTCACCTCTCTCCTCACCTCTCTCTCTCTCTCTGCTCTCTCTCTCTCTCTGCTGTGGTGCAGAAATCCTCTTAATCCTTATCAAACAATCTGTTGGCTAATAATAATAAAAAAAAAAGTTCTGCTCTTCAGAGCTGAAAGTCTGAAGAAAACAGAAGTGACACGTGACAGAAGAGTCACAGCGCTGCATTATGACGAGAGTCTGCTCAAACTGTGTAATATTATTATAGATCAAATAGTACAAACACAAATCTGATAAACTTTCTTCAAAAACTGTTCTTTAGCTCCGCCCCCTCTCATGCTCATTGGTCAGAATGGTCACATGATAAAGGTTAAACTTGCTCCATGTTGAGCACATTTATATGAACAGGCAGCCATGATAGAGCTGTGAGGCTGAGGGTTTGAAAACACCACTGAACCACATGCACCAAAACATACAAAAAAAATAAAATAAAATCTGACAGTATGTTTTCTTGTGGGTTTGAAAAATCTTGTGAGACTTAAGCTGTAGTCCACATTTCATCTCTGACTTTCATCTGTTTCCTGAGCTGTTTCTTGTGTAATAGTTTTGTTCATCACTATTACACAATTACACTTCTTTTTGGCTGCGTGTCAAATATTTTTTCATGTCTTCAAAGAAAACATAACATTTTCAGACTTGTTTCCTCCAGTTTGTGGCTGATGCTAAAACCCTGTGTGTGGAACAGAACAGCTGTCTGCTGCGGAGTCTGACCATGAATCGACGTACAGCTCAGCGCTGTGGGATTCTGGCTGTGCAGATGAAGCCGTGCTCATTTCTCACTGTGCCGGAGCCATTTGGACCTTTTCTTCTGCACTTTCAGTCTCATCAGCCTGTGCACAAAAGTGTTCTTCAGGGGTGTGAGCCATTCACTTTGATGGATGATGTAATTGTAATTAAAAACGTCTGTCACTGTTCCTGTTAAGAAGAGATAAAACTGAAATATGAAAGTTTCACGAGCCATGAGAATAGTTTTTATGGCTCTGCTGCTGATTTTAGTGCTCGTCTCTGAGGTTTGTTGCCTGGAATACAGAGTCCACACTTCTCCGATACTTTTAGAACATGTGAGTCTGCTCATCGGTGAGTTCAGAGGGGCGTGATTGACAGGAGGATGAGCCAATCAGGGACACACATGATCAATCTGTATCAAAACAAATATAGTGGCTTATGAAGGAAAATAATATCATGGGACAGAAAAGACAAGCAATGAACTCTTCAGCAGGGCTGGACCATTTGGGAAAAAAATTGATTCTTTTGTTTGTACAGTTAATTTCAGTTTTTCAATGCAAGTCCATGAAGAGTGCCCAGACTTTTTGAAGGTCCTATATTATAAAAGATGGAACTTTCAGCTGTGTTAGAACACTGTTACCTCCTCAGAAACACACCTGGAGCTCTGTTTCATTCACACATGTCTGAGTCATCCTTTATTATTAGTCTGTTTACATCTCTAAAGCTCAAAATGCTCTTTTCCACCTTGTGATGTCATGGAGTGGTATAGCTTTCAAGTGACCAGCTCCTTTTATTTTGGTTCAGTAGAGAACTGAAATGATCCAAATGATTCTAGTGAATGTGAGTGGAGTTTAAATCACAGTGGAGCACTTCCTGCATTATCACATGATGACATCACAAGGTGTTTTCTGTTTGAGAGAAGAACTGAGCCTAAATGTGCAGGTTTGTGTGTGAAACATGCGAATGAAACAAACACAAGTCCAGGTATGTTTGTGGTGAGGAAACATTAGAACAGAGATGAGAAAATCGAGTAACATGAGCCTTTAAATGAACCTCAGCTCAAGCAAAAACTGTGAGTGGAACAAGACAAAATAGTAAATTATGAGAAAAGCCGTATTTGAACATCATTTATAATAAATAAATTATCATTTATAATAAATAACTCACATGGTTCATGATTGATTCTTTAAACAACAGGACTGTGTGTGAACCTGCTGAGGTGTTTAAACGTCACACACTGATCTCTGATCTAAATGTGATTAAATGTGATTGTTTAGTGATGCCGTCACATTTTCACACTGCATTATCCCAGGATGCACTGGTTCTGCTCTGGCTCTGTCCAATCATCTGTCTGACTGTTTATGCACTCATCCCTCCATCATCACTCTCTTATCAGGGGACATCAGCTGGTTTGGTCTCTCCTCTCTCGTGTTTGGTTTACGCGTCGTTGGTCTGATCTGAGCTGAAGTTTTGTTCCACTGCTCTGAACTTGGTGGGAGGATTTTGTTTATTCATCAAATGATTTCAAACAGTGATTCTCAAACTTTTCACACCAACTTCCACCGCCCCTGAACCCAAAGGCTGTTTTTAGCACAAACACAAACACAAACACAGAGCAGAGCTCCCACACACACTCACACCCGACCACGTCCAGTGTAACTGCAGCACGTCCAGCACCTGCTGCATGATTAAAACTTTACAAGATCTGACACTATATGTCCCTTTAAAAGTGCACTGTGGAACTTTTCTAGTGGAGGGTCTATCTTCAGCTCGTCTCCATGGAGATGTTAATACTTTGTCTGAAATCTTCAACATTACAGAACATGGTATCTGTGTTTAATACAAAAACAGTCTAATCTGACATTCTCTCTATGAGCTGGGTCATCTCTCCACAGATCTGACCTGTAACTAGGTTCTGTCACCTTCCTGTTCCCATGGAGACAGATGTGTTTAATGTCATACTGTGGAACATTGGACAGGCACAGCAGTAACATTTGTATGAAGAGCAGGTGCAGGTGGAGATCTCAGGGTTTAAACACAAACGCTGTAGAGGAAAGACTCAACACGTCCACGATCTGCAGCAGACGCAAGCTCCAGTCAGAACGGCACACTGTGACAGTCCACCCCCCCGTCTCTCTCTGTCTCTCTCTCTCTGTCTGTCTCTCTCTCTGTTCTTTCTCCTGGAGCTGTAGAGCAGGTGCTCACCACTTCTATGAT